TTGTTTAAGAAACCAGAATTTATAACAGGTAAATGTATTAGGTTAGAGGCCATGCATACGACGGAGTGTGGGACGCTGTAGTCTAGTAGCTAAGGTACTCGGCTGCTGACCTGCAGGTCGCGGGATCGAATCCCGGCTTCGGCGGCATTTCCGATGGAGGCGGAAATGTTGTAGGCCCGTGTGCTCAGCTTTGGGTGCACGTTAAAGAACCCCAGGTGGTCGAAATTTCCGGAGCCCTCAATACGGCGTCTCTCATAATCATATGGCGGTTTTGGGACGTTAACTCCCACAAATCAATCAATCAAAACAAAACAAATGATATGGCGTGCCTAAAGATACAATCAATAAAGGCAGAATAACGTCAAAACTGAAGCGACCTCAAAAATGTAAAATGTATTATAAGAACAATTTGTTGGTTTGGGTGAGTCGGTACATCTTGCTAATAACTTAATGCAACCCCCCAAACAAAAAAAAAATAAACAGTGAGGACAAACCCGATAAACGGGCATTTTAGCGCTCATCCTATCGTGTGTGTTCCCTATACTTGTCCTCTTTTTTTATGTTGCTTCAAGTTATTCGAGCGAGTAAAATTGCTTCAAGGTTTCTTTTTTTCCCCTTTTTTTCTATCTCGGGCTATATCGTGACATACGCTGCCATCTTATCCCTTCACGTGGCCCGTGGCTGACCTGCTTCATCGGTTGTTACAACATGAATCACGGTTTCTTTTTTCGTTCTTCCCCGCACAGATCCACCCTCCATTCCACGCGCCAACTTGTGTCGAGTCACCAGCGGGAAAATTCGAGATACAACTTCCTGCGCCTTCCGTGCCTCTCAACTTCCCAAACTCGAGTGGCCTGCGGTACGAAGCAGAAGAAGTGAGGAGATGTCTGCATGAAGGTGAGAGATGGGTGATAGTTTCAGGGGCTTTGCGTGCCATGACAACAATATCAGTATAAGGCACATCGTTGTTAAGAGCTCCGGAAATTTCGACTACCTGAGACTCTTTAATGGGCTCTTAAGTACACGTGCACCTAGCATTTCGCCTGCGAAGACATGTGGGCGCCATGGCTTGAATCAAGCCCACATCTTTGGGTAATCAGCCAAACACCATCACCAATGATGCACTACCACGGTGGCAGTGGTGAAAAATCGTGAGAAAGAGACTATTTCATTTGAAAAGAATGTACAACGCAGTGTGTCCAAATCCTGCTCTACTATACAGATATTGCATGTGCGTGGCTACAGCTGTTACTCCGTGGTGTCGTTACAGAGGATTATTTTTTTCTTTCGTAATTTTACGTGCCCTTCCCCCAGTTAAGTATAACAGGGCAAACGAGAGACTTCATATAGTTAAACTCTTTGGTTTTTCCTGCAAATTTTGTTCGGTGTTAAACCAAAGCCTGCTCTTATTAGTTTTACATCGATGCTTGTGTACCGTACAAATTTTTTTTGTACAGAAGCGTTCGCATAGTGAACGAGAAATAGTAAATCGTGGGGTATATAATAGCTGAAGCTCGTATCTTTGTTAAGTATGCGTTAATATTTCAGAAAAAGAGAGATTGCTTTTTCGCGAGCAGACATTGAAGGAGTAATATAAAACATTGTATAAATAAATTGTGCCAGAATTTTCGACAAGCTTCAAATTTACAAGCCTTCCAATAATTACAAAAAAAAGAATTTGAACGCATGAATTTGCACTGAAATCAATGGTGTGCATGCTTCTTTATGACTTACGCATATTTGATACTTTATATAAATCAATGTCAATATTTGTTCAGTTAACGAAGTCCCGAAATCCAGCTGAATCGACAAAAGTACGTGGATGTAAAAATGCAAGAGGAGCAACATATATAGATGCAGCGTTTGTAATAAAATGTTTAACTTTTGATTTCGTTTGCCTTTTGTTTTACAGGTTTTCTCGAAAGCCCGAAGATGACACACCATGATTCGCTGATTATCACAGAAATTTTCGATGAAATTCTCAAGCAGATTGGAGTGCAATTTTAAGCAAGGGCTATCTACAAAGTGAACGTTTCATTTCAGGATGCGCTCATCAATAGTCCTCAGCTGTTGCTTTCTATACGTGCTTGATTGATATGTGCGGTAAAACACCCTAATACCATTATAGGATAATGACAGACACACCTCGTATAAGTGCTCTTGGTGTTTTTATTATCCAAATATCAGAGCATGTTTGCATTTCGGCAACGAAGTTTTCAAGCCTCACATCCTAGCAATACTTTCTTGGATGTATTGCTTTAAACTGAGCATCAGAGCTGACTGTGCTACTGTATAGCCTAAATATGTTCACGAGGCTCTACAATACAGGTCAGTCAACCTCATAACTTGTCACTTCAGCTACTCCCGCTTTAAACGGATAACACTATGAACAAAAACTTTTCAAAAGATTACCACGGAATTACCAGTGTTCGTGTGAAGCCAAAAACTGAACGAAATCGAACCACTTGGCGTATATAGGCAGTTGAAAACCTAGAATAGCGAAAGGCAGAATCCAGTGTAAAAGCATTTGTAGCTGTTGATGTCCTATCGTCAGTCACTTTGAAAACAAACTATCGTTGATATTATGTCTTCAACCTCAATAAATATTCAATGCCCCAAAACTAGTACCTCTAATTGCGCTCTGAAAGTAAAGTTCACTAATATAAAAATTATGATTCCCAAATTAGTACATATTTAATTATTTCAGACAATATGACAGCCGTGCTTCACATTTCAACATCCGTAGTTGTTACCAACCCCTCCCTCCTTCACCGCCACTGTCTCCTTTCAATCTCTGAACCATGGACGCTTGATCTCTACCTTTGGTGCAGCCGCCGAGTGTTGCTCTCTGCCTGTGAGAGCGCTAGTTATCATTCAACCTGTCGCATCAGCTATGGCACTATAGCTATCAGCGAAGCAGGTGTTTCTCCCCAAGCTACTTTCAGCCTCAGCGACCAATCTGCGCCAGCAGTTTCATGCGATTTTGATCAGTGCTCTGTCATGCTCCACTTTGAGATGCTCCCGCGAATAGGCTGGAGTTACATTAACAGAATTATAGGTGCATGACTGGGTGACATATATTAGCGCTAGAAATACGGCTAACTCCAGAAAGACGACGATATTGGTCGCAGTGGTAAAAGCCCGTCTACTGAGAGATGTAAGTTCATGTTAAAGAACACCAGGTGGCTAAGTAGTTTCTAAGCCCTCCACTTCGGCGTGGCTCATGATCGTATCGTGGTTCCGGCACGTTAAACCCAAGATAATATTATTCAAAATACAGATTTGTATTGTATCTGTATTGTCCATTCACTGCAATTTATTACGAGCTGATTGAAACCCAGCCAAACTTGAATTTACTCCTGAATACCGGTGATAGTTGGCTGTACATGGAAATTTTAGACGCAATATTTATTTTGAAGTATTTTGGTAACTTTGGCACTCTGGTTATTGGATTGTCGGAACAGGCCCAACGCAATTGTCAGTAGAAAAAAAAAACTATGTTTTTCCGAGTTTCTCGTCCTCCGAACCCCCTCTAAAAAAAAAAAAAAACTCTGCGTATGTATAAGATGTACGCCGTTTTGTATGAAGTGAAGCGATGCTTGTGGTAATACGTCGAAGCCAGGTATTCACTTCTAACCAGCTCAATTACTTTTTTAGTAGTATATGGCTCTCCATAGAAGCGAAGTCTGTAGCAGTCAAAACATTGAAGAGAGGTCAGGACCCCGGCTTTTTGAATATCCAATGACCACGCGGAAACACAATATCATTTACACTGTCGCGAGGCAAGCCTAAACGTCAGTGGTGAAGAGTGAAACTTATGTGTGGGTGTGGTGCAGTGAGATAGGCGTCCGGGACAATACTGCGTGAGGAATAGCACACAGGCCACCTGCTTATGCACAGTCACGTCGCGCTACGAATGACTTTTGAAGAGCTTGCCCGCGCTTCTTAAAAAAACGGGAACAAAAAAAAAACATTCGTTCAATGTAATTAGGAAAGAGGAAACAGGGCGGAGCAATCACCTGTGATTATCGCAAGACTAAATCAACTGCTTACCTACAACATCCGAATCCTTAGGCTTATTCATGCGTTCGCTCCATTAGATGCACTTAGCGATCACGTTTGGCTGTCTACTTGAAGCCGCGAGGAAGCACTTGATCCTCATCTTGCTCTCGCTCGCATGGCAGCTCAGCATTGTACTGATGATATTATTGTAAATTATTGAAACCTAGTGGCTCCAAGTTTGATGCCAAAAAGTAGCAGAGGTAATGTGTATTTTGTTTATATAAATATACTGAGCGCCCTTATTTGCACGTCATGCCGTTTTATTTCTGCGACACATACTTAGGTATATCGTGCATCGAGCAATTATGAACAATGATTCTTTGTAAATAGTCTCACAAACGCATCATTAATTATTCGCATGTTGCAAGATTTCACGAGCGGAGGGCTGCGCGGAAAAGTGTTTTCCGGAAATGAATCAGTATGTTTTATAGTGGGTTGCTAAAAACTCCACCCAGTTAACCAGGATTGTACTCAAAGCTTCTTGATAAGTTGGGCGGGCACATAAACTTAACAGCACTCTGGAAGAACCAAAGTGAGGGGGATAACACCTTCGCGCGAAGCTGTGCAAGCAGGTGCAAGGGTGCCTTGCGAATATGCAGTGCCCTAATCTTCAGTCTCCATCTGCCGCACCAAAGGGGGAGGTGAAGCAGTCGTCGAGTCTGAACTGCAATAATCGGCTTTCATTGCTGAATAAAAGAACTCATATATATATATATATATATATATATATATATATATATATATATATATATATATATATATATATATATATATATATATATATATATATATATATATATATATATATATATATATATATGTTATTCTCTGCCAAAGAACAGTATGCGCTTGGTAGTGAAATGGTTGTAAATGTGAATGCTTTACCAGTCCTTTTCTGTATCGGAAGATGCACGTTCCGTGAAACATTACCTGTTTTTATTCAGTTACTTTACAAGACGGACACAGTCAAATTATATAGAAATGTATCCATACGTTTTTCCTTAAGAAGATGACAGTGTGTGTTTATGCACATCTGAAATACAATTTCAAGCATGTTATTGAGTTATTATTACCATGACCAATACTAAATCACAGTTCGTTATCTCACTGCATATTAGCCGCTAAAGGTTACTGTTACACCTCAGCGTACTGATTACTCTATATTCATTTTCACCAATCATGCGTTTTTCGTGCGTCAGATGGAAAGGTGAAACGTGCCCTTATAACTTAAATATAACACGAGGTGCCTTGTAAATTACGAACAGGTACACGTACACAATGCAAATTATTAGACAGAGCTTATATCTTGATTCCTGTGGTATATTAGTGTGTGCACTCCTTACCGCACCGCAGGTACAGCGTACAAGTTACAAAATTAAAAAGGAGCTGAAAAATTCGCGAGAAATAGGTTATTTCTTGACTAACAACATTGTCAGACAGACGAAAGCAACGCGATAGCAGGAACAAAAATTATGCACATGTACGTCAGACAACGTTTTTGTCATGAGCTTTGTAATTTTCTTCGAACTGTGTATCGCTTAAAGCATGAGCTTACAAATTAATTTGCTCACTTAGGAGGCGTGATTCGCTTTGCACATGCTGCAGTTACGTAAGAAAGATAATGAGGTCACACGAGCGTTATTTGTACTCCAATCTTGAGTGTTTGTCAGCAATTTTGTACATAACCCTGCGTCAAACATCAAGTGTGTGGGAAGACGATAATTGTGAGGCCTCTGATGCTCTCTGTATGCGCTGCTTTTGCACCCGCCACAGCTCACTTCTGCGGCAACACGTTCAAGGAGATAGCACAGCCGCCACTGGTGAACATGCTGTAGAGGGTATCAATATAATGCATTCACCTCCTTTTCTCCTACATTGCCATCATCCACGTGCTGTCAAGCAGCCGCGCCTCAACACCTATTTTTTTCGATGCATGTATAAATATTTTGCATTTCATGTTTCCATCAGTCTGGTACAAAAAGGCTAAATAATGCGAAGTTATTCTCCAGGCCTTACCTTGCGCGGAGCGCTTCTATCGCACGGAGTGCCGTCTGGCGCATCGTAGACTGCTAGCTTTCCAGGAATCGTTAAGGAACTACAAGTAATCATACAGTGTTCGAGCTTGTAGTGTGGGAGGTTGTCCGGAGGCTGTAATAAAATTTTCATGCTTGTCAATGTGATTTAAAAGCTTTTCGTCAAAAAAAAAGGAAATCTTGAAATTCACGGCTAGCTTCTTTTACCTGCCTGTTGAATTACAGGGATGGAGCCACGGGAGTGGCCGCGTCAGCAGCACGTGTAAGTGAGCTCTGCACATATCTGCCTATAACTTTAGCAATTTGGGTTCAAGGAGGGTCAGAGTGGTGTCTATTTGTTCGTAAAGATACGAGGAGTTCAACCGCTACAAATACTGCTATTACAAACGAAAATTTTAAATTTTAGGAGCGGAAAACAGTGTGAATCTGTGTAAAGAACAACAGTCAGACCACGTGTTTTTTACGATCGCTTGTAGCTTCGTTAATATTCTACCGGGAAACTTCTTACTTATAAAGTTGAAAGTCCTTAGGGTAGACCTGACGCTTCTGAAGTTTGATTAGGCTAGGTTTAATAGTTCCAGAGTTATTCCGCAATCAAAATTAGGCCTAATCACTAAAGAGATTAAATTGGTAATATCACCTCTCAAACGCATTCAAATTTTGTCCGCTTAATATAATAATAAACCGCACCCCACAGGCTACCAGGAGGCCCAATTCTGTACAATCAAGGCCCTAATTAACGTGGTACTCAGCAAAAAGCTCATTTCATTAAAACACATTTTCAAAAGGAGCTACAAACGCCACTGAAAAATGGCTAATATCTTCTTTTAGAACACAACAGTCCGGTTCTTTCCGTGTAAAAATAATTTTGATAGCTTAAGGTAACCGGAAGATACAGAGTTAGAAAGAATATAACGAAAGCCGCTAATAAACGTGTGGCGCCCACGTCTTCCCTCGCTCAGAAGAGGAGGGTGGCTGACTGCTCGGGAGAAAGGTACGCCCGTAAGATCAAAGTCTTGAACCACGTGTTTTTTTCCCTTACGATCGCTTTTAACTTTGCTAGTAACCTACCGGGAAACTTCTAACTCATACAGTGCAAAGCCCTAATTGTAGACCTGTCGCCACTCAAGTTTCATCAGGACAGGAGTAACAGTACCGGAACTATTTTGTGACCAAAATTAATCCTAATCACTAAAAAAGATTAACTTGGTAACATCACCTCACAAACGAATTGAAATTTTGTCCGCTTAATATAGCAATAAACAGCACCCCATAGGCTAATCGGAGGCCTAACTCCGTACTCTCTAGACCCTTAATTAAGGGCGTAATCAGCAGAAATCTCATTTCAATAAAACATTTTTATAACAACAACCACAAACTTGACTGATACACCGCTGAAACCTACAATTAGAAAATAACAATCCGGGTGCGGCGATGGCATAGTGGTTAGAGCATCCGCCTCGCATGCAAGAGGTCCGTGGTTAAAATCCCGGTGCCGCGCAGTTCCCAACCAGAAAAAAAAAACCGCGTGTTGATGGAACTGCATTAAGAGGCATGAGGTGCGGCCTCACCGGTAACCACCACCGGGAACGCACTCCCTCACCAGAGAAGGATTGGCCACCCTGGTGCAGTATCTGGACACCACTTCCCACATGCATACGTAAAATGACTCAGGGCCCTCAGTTCCCAGCAGCTGCGAAGCAACTGACCATGGCGGTGGTCAGATCTGCAACGCAGCAGAGGGTGCTAAGAATCTCTGGACTACAGGCCGCCTTTAAAACCTGAACTTTGCAACGTTTAACGCTAGAACCTTATCTAGTGAGGGAAGTCTAGCTGTACTATTCGAGGAGCTAGAGGGTGTTAAATGGGATATAATAGGGCTCAGTGAGGTTAGGAGGACAGATGAGGCCTATACGTGGCTACATAATGGGCACATCTTTTGCTATCGGGGCTTGGCTGACAGAAGAGAACTGGGAGTGGGGTTCCTAATTCACAGAAACATAGCTGGCAACATAGGGGAATACTATAGCAATAATGAAAGAGTGGTAGGTATTGTAATTAAACTGAATAAAAGATACAAGATGAAGGTAGTACAGGCTTACGCGCCTACATCCAGCCATGATGTCGCTTCAGTTGAAAACTTCTATAAGGACGTGGAATCGGCAATGAGTAAGGTAAAACACAGTATACTATAGCGATGGGCGACTTTAATGCAAATGTAGGGAAGAAGCAGGCTGGAGACCAGGCAGTAGGAGATTATGGCTTCGGTACTAAAAACGCCAGAGGAGAGCTACTAGTAGAATTCGCAGAACGCAATAATTTACGGATTTTGAATACCTTCTACCAAAAACGAGAAAACCAAAAGTGGACATGGAGGAGCCCTAATGGCGAAAATAAGAACGAAATAGATTTCATAATGACTGCACACCCAGGAATCGTGCAGGATGTGGAAGTGGTTGGCAAGGTACGATGCAGTGACCATAGAATGGTACGGTCTCGAATTCGCATAGACTTGAAGAAGGAACGACAGAAACTGATACGCAAGAAGCCAATCAATGAGCTATCACTGAGAGGGAAAGTACAGGAATTCAGAGTGTCGCTGCAGAACAGGTACTCGTCTCTTAGTGAGGAAACTATCTTAGCGTAGATACAATGAATGATAATCTAACGAGTATCATTACGGAGTGCGCAGTGGAAGTTTGAGGCAGGGTAGTTAGGCAGGACACTGGCAAGCTTTCCCAGTAAACGAGGAACCTAATTAAGAAGCGTCAAAGCATGAAAGTGTCAAGTACAACAGACAAAATAGAACTGCCAGAGCTTTCAAAGTTGATTAATAGGCGTAAAGTATGCGATGTAAGAAGGTATAACATGGAGAGAATTGAACACGCTCTGAAAAACGGAGGAAGCGTCAAAGCAGTGAAGAGGAAACTTGGGATAGGCAAAAGTCGGATGTATGCACTAAGGAACAAAGAAGGCAAAATAACTACCAATATGGATAGGATAGTTAAAATAGCGGAGGAGCTTTACAGAGATCTGTACAGTAGCCGAGACAACCACGACCTTAATACTATAGAACTAGCAGTAACCCAGATGACACCCCACCAGTAATGATAGAAGAAGTCAGAAAAGCTTTGGAGAGCATGCAAAGAGGCGAAGCTGCTGGTGATGATCAGGTAACATCAGATCTGCTGAAAGATGGAGGACACATTGTGTTAGAAAAACTAGCCACCCTGTTTACGAGGTGTCTCCTGACGGGAAGGGTACCAGAGTCTTGGAAGAACACTAACATCATCTTAATACATAAGAAAGGAGATGACAAGGACTTGAAGAACTACAGGCCGATCAGCTTGCTCTCTGTAGTATACAAGCTATTTACAAAGGTAATTGCTAACAAAGTAAAGAAAACATTAGAATTCAATCAACCAAAGGAACAAGCAGGATTTCGAACAGGCTACTCAACAATTGACCACATTCATGCTATCAATCAGGTAATAGAGAAATGCTCAGAATATAACCATCCACTATACATAGCCTTCATAGATTACGAGAAGGCGTTTGATTCAGTAGAAATATCAGCCATTATGCAGACACTGTGGAATCAGGGCGTAGATGAAGTATATATAAACATTCTGGAAGAATTCTACAGGGGATAAACTGATACCATAGTGCTTCATAAAGAAAGCAACAGAATACCAATCAAGAAGGGTGTAAGGCAGGGAGACACAATCTCCCCAATGCTATTTACCGCGTGCTTACAGGAGGTTTTGAGAAGCCTAGAATGGGAACAGTTAGGGATAAGAGTTAATGTAGAATACCTTAGTAACCTGCACTTCGCCGATGACATTGCATTGCTGAGTAACTCAGGGGACGAATTGCAACTCATGATTACGGAGTTAGACAAGGAAAGCAGAAAGGTGGGTCTTAAAATTAATCTGCAGAAAACGGAAGTAATGTACAACAACCTCGGAAAGGAGCAGCGCTTTGAGATAGGTAATAGTGCACTTGAAGTTGTAAAAGACTATGCCTACTTAAGGCAGGTAATAACCGCAGAGCCTAACCACGAGATTGAAGTAACTAGAAGAATAAGAATGGGGTGGAGTACATTCGGCAAGCACTCTCAAATTATGACAGGTAGATTGCCACTATCCCTCAAGAGGAAGGTATATAACAGCTGTATCTTGCCAGTACTTATCCACGGAGCAGAAACCTGGAGACTTACAAAGAGGGTTCAGCTTAAATTGAGGACGACGCAGCGAGCAATGGAAAGAAAAATGGTAGGTGTAACCTTAAGAGACAAGAAGAGAGCAGAGTGGATTAGGGGACAAACGGGGGTTAAGGATATCATAGTTGAAATAAAGAAGAGGAAATGGACATGGGCCGGGCATGTAGCGCGTAGACAGGATAACCGCTGGTCATTAAGGGTTATAAATGGATTCCCAGAGAAGGGAAGCGGGTTAGGATGAGACAGAAGGTTAGGTGGACAGACGAGATTAAGAAGTTTGCGGGTATAAATTGGCAGCAGCAAGCACAGGACCGGGTTAACTGGCGGAACATGGGAGATGCCTTTTTCCTGCAGTGGACGTAGTCAGGCTGATGATGATGATGATGATGATGATGATGATGAATTACAGGCGCGTGTACAATGCACGCTTACTCCTGGTGACGCTATGCAGATTCCAGTTGGAGTATGCATTGTTTCTGTTTGTCATAAGATAATAAAATCACAGCTAATTCACGGAGTGAATGATGATACATGGGGCGAAACGTCTGTACGTTCGTTCATATGTCTGTTTGTGGTGTCGTTCTCTCTTTGGATACGCTATGGTGGCTACGCCGGAGGAATGGACTGTCCTGAACCATAGAAAACTTCACCCCTAAAATTCGGAGTATTCGGTCATTCCAGCGACGCAGGCGGTGCCATGTTGCCGTACTCCGAAGCTGTCACACGGTGATAAAACAGCGATGGAGTTCAGTCTCTCAGTAGTCATAAACCAGTCTTCACGCTCTACGACATTCAAGTAAACGCTCGTGGCATCATCGTCTCGTCTTCCATTTTAACCTTCAACTGCACCGCCTTTAGTCACTACTATGGTTGAACTTTTTCGAGCCAGAAACATGACCGGTACAAAACCTTCTACAATAGCTTGTTAAAGATGGTATACAGTCTTTCTTGAGATCATTCAACGCAAAAAATATGGTCTGTCTGCTCATCTTTGTGTCTGTCTTACTGCTGCTGCCTGAAAATTAAGCAGAGTGGCGAAATTTTATCTCTTTCCTAAACAATCAGCCATCTTGATTTAATTTTTGCGTTCATACGTGCTGATATTTTCAAGTGAAAAAAATATTACTTCACATATTGTGGCACAACATAAGTACAGGGTCATTAGATAATGTGGTACTTCATTTCTAAAATATATAGATACGTAATTATAGAACCGCAGTGCTTATTACGTGGCGCTGGCATTGTGACACTATGACCGAAAAGAAATTAACAAGTGTTTCCTATGCTTCTGTAGAACTACATAGTGCTTCCACCTGCCAGTGACTTTGCGTGCTAGAAAAATTTCGTTTCTTAAAATTACAGCTGGATGGCATCCACATCTCATGAAGCACCTACTTGCCAATTTTCTTGCACTTAACGTCAAATAAACGTTTTATTCTCTCTCTCAAGAAAGAAGACTATTGTGTTTCGATGACCTCTGCTAGCGAAGCACGTAGATACGCTGCCATTTTTTCAAAAATGTTGCCTTCTAAGGATTCGCGGAAGTAAAAACTCTGCTTTGAATAGGTTTGCTAGGTTCCTTCATTATTTACATTTCTTTTGATTAGGCGTTACAGTCTGGAATTGAGAAGAGGAATACCAGTTTTTTTATAACACATACCTCATTTGAGCCGATAAATCCGAATCGAGCCGATAAAGATATATAAAAAGAGAACTGGACATAGCTTGCTCAAGTGGCGCAAGGTGGAAAGGCGAAGCCGAGCTGATTCTAAGGCGTTACCAATACGGCGCGAGCAGTATCGAGGCGGCAAAAGGAACCGAGCGCAGGAGCGCGTGCACATGTGCAGTGCTGCAGTGCCCGGTGGGAGAGTGACGTCAGGCTAGTCAGACGCCGACGCGCCATGATGACGTCATGGTGCATGCGTAGTACCACAAAGCTGGCGGTGGAGTCACCTGAGTCAACCAAGGATGATTAAGGAGTCAACGTTACTAGAATAAACTCGTCGGTCTGTGTCGTGCGGAGCGAGCGCGCGGCTGCACGCAGATGCACATGTGGTTGCTAGGCAACGCGAAGTTATTTCATGGCTCCATGGAGTTTTTTTTTCTTTTTGTTTATAGTAAAGAGATCATGGCTAACTTAAAAAAAAAACGCCAGGCTTGCACGGAAGGGCAACAGTCACAGAGAAAGCTAGAAAAGAGCGGTCTTTCACAGCCTTTTCTAAACACCCATTGGGTATCTGCTGCAAAACACTTGCTGCGTGCCCTCTACGTCATTAATAGTAATAATATTCATGTAGTAGGCTGGTACTTCCTATGATACTTTACGTCATTCTTTCGAGAAGGGTGGTATTCAGTGAACACTTGCAAGGAATTTCATGTCAATAGTTGATGCAGTGACTGAGAACGATGAGAAATTATGCCTGACGTGGGTATGTGTCATAGGGAAGAAGTGACCAAAAACAACCTTTTGTAATGTGTTCAATCATTGTACGACCCACGCATTACGATATTCACATTGTGTGACGCCTCGTTGTTCTTTTGCTGTTCCAAAACGCTTTATTACTCACATTAACCCGATTCCTTTCGCGACATCAAGGCTGCATAAGGCAAGTTTGCGAAGAAGTCTCCTACCTCAGCGGGGCTCAGTGGTAGTAAACTGCTCTGGCAAGCAATAGATACGGGTTCAAGCCCCAATGAGTTCTAGGAACTACGTTTTTTTTATTATTTTGCGCGATAGTGGTTACGGACACCGAAAATGGTGGCTGTGGACAACCCGGCATCTACGGCGCCACAACTACGGGACAACTACGGCACCACGCAGCTTTCGCTGTAAAAGCTTCATAATTGAAACAGGTAATAAAACCGGACATATATTGTGACGTCCCTTCCTTGTACGCTACCTAAAGAAAACGGCCCATGGAAATGGTGAGAGGACTAAGAGCTCGCGTCGTGTTTACGTCCCACAACTGGCACTCTCGGCTAAACAGGCGAGACAGTGTTCAGGACTACTAGTAATGTTGATGCGTGTAACTTCAAACAGCGGAGCTATTCAGAGCGGCTATAAGTCCGTGCAGAGCAAACATAAAACTATTATCATTATGAACCTTAATCATTGTCAATTGCTTTAATCCCAGCGCATGTGAGCCAAATAGTCCAGCGAAGTACCCAGTAACTCTGATAAACGAAAGAACCTGTACACAAAGAAAAAAACAAGCAAAAGAAAGAGTTAGGAAGAAATGGAAGTAATAGAGAAAATTATAAAAACAGCCAGAAAATATGAATAGAAATAGAAAGAAACAGCTACAGAAAAGATAAAAATAAGACAGGGTGTAAGCGAATATGAGAGACGCACTGAAAGAGGAAGCAAGAAGTAGAAAGAGAAACAAAAAGATAAGGGGAAAGAAAGAGTGAAATAAGACAGATCACCCATTTCCGTATTTCGGTCAAGCCTGACACCACCAGTGTGAAGCGCGGCGTCCTTTGGCCAGGTAAGGCGCTTGCCGCCAGTCCACATGTGATAACAAGTGCGAAGCTGCTTTTTGTTTCTTGTTATAGCTTTTTTTAAAAGTTAGCTCGCAAAATTTCTCGCATTCCGATTTCATCATTACGAGGGAACCGTATAGCAAGTATTTCATCAAAGGTCAGCGTTATCAGTCATAAATACCCTTATTACCACTCAGGTGGAACCAGCTTTAAATAATAAAATAATATGCAGTTCTGCAGAGCGTACGCCGACTAAAAACTGCGACTAATAGTTGTCACATCGGTGCATTGAAATTGAAATCAGATTTTTTTTCTGCCACACAAGTTTCTCTCTTCGCAAGAAATAGTGATTATGCTATAAGACTCGCAAGTTTGTTGCAAATTTTTATTTTTTTAGTATTATAGCTCCAAAATAATGTTTTTTTGTGTGTTAGCAGTTTTTTACGCATAGGTCGCGTAAACATTGTGGGATACACTTTTTATGTAAAGAAGTAGAACTACATTCTTGACGCTTATCAGAGTGGCTGATACCATTGCTTTGGCTATGTGACTTTCATTTCTCCAGCCAACTATATAGCTTTGCTCACTCATTCTTTCCACTCAGCCTGAAGTTGGTTAACTCGTAAAGAGGTAGGAGAGGCCCCGTGGAGGTCATCGATGAAACAGCATAAAAACTTGATAGTTTCACTATTTCTCGGCCAAGTTCCTTCTCAACAAGATCGTGACGTCAAACGATAATGCCCACAAATTGGGGGCGTGCTTGAGTGCATTTGCCACTGATATGAAAATTTAGCTGCCATGTACTGTCCATCCCGGCTGCAATAATATTTAACACAGAAAGCGAACCTTTTGCAACTTCGAAGCCTCCCGAATTAAGTTCTCCTCCACTTCAACTTTTAGCAATTTATCTATAGCAATACGTGCATTCATAATACCCCCTTTCCATATACAGTTTTTTCAATTCAACTCACTTCTTTGTAAAAAGCGCCTTGTACATCACGGTACCGACGTTCACAGAATTCATCGAGAGTAGGTCTTGTTTTATTAACATCGTCGTAAGTAACGTTTCTTGTCTTCCTTATTGTAGTCTTCGTTAGACATTGTCCGGCTGGGCTTCTATTATAGAAAAGAAAACGGGATGAAGACGCATATATATATATATATATATATATATATATATATATATATATATATATATATATATATATATATATATATATATATATATATATATAGAACTACCAATAATAATAGGTGTATAATAAAACACTGTGAAAGCGGGCTAGATGGTATTCCATATTTCGGGTTTCAGCTGTAAAATAATGAAAAATGCAACACGAGCCGCCACATAAAAGCAAAGGGAAGAAGGAAGTTACAAGAGGGAAAGGAAATGCAGGGATGTTAAGCAGTCTGGAATGACTGGCCTGCAACCCTACACCTGAACAGGGTGAGGGAATTCGAAAACTGGAGAGCGTGAAAGAGGAGAGCACACACACAAAGCCGCACTTCACAGTGATCATAACAGTCATGATCATTATCGTCATCATCATCAATATCAGCCTGACTACGTCCACTACAGGACAAAGGCCTCTCCCATGTTCCGCCAGTTAACCGGCTCCTGTGCTTGCTGCTGCCAATTTATACCCACAAACTTCTTAATCTCATCTGCCCACCTAACCTTTTGTCTCCCTTTAACTCGCTTGCCTTCCCTGGGAATCCAGTTAGTTACCCTTAATGGCCAGCGGTTATCCTGTCTACGCGCTACATGCCCGGCCCATGTCCATTTTCTCTTCTTGATTTCAACTATGACATCCTTAACCCTCGATTGTTCCCTATTCCACTCTGCTCTCTTTTTGTCTCTTAAGGTTATACCTACAATTTTTCTTTCCATTGCTTGCTGCGTCGTCCTCAATTTAAGCTGATTGATTGATTGATATGTGGGGTTTAACGTCCCAAAACCACTCTATGATTATGAGAGACGCCGTAGTGGAGGGCTCCGGAAATTTAGACCACCTGGGGTTCTTTAACGTGCACCCAAATCTGAGCACACGGGCCTACAACATTTCCGCCTCCATCGGAAATGCAGCCGCCGCAGCCGAGATTCGAACCCGCGCCCTGCGGGTCAGCAGCCGAGTACCTTAGCCATTAGACCACCGCGGCGGGGCTCAATTTAAGCTGAACCCTTTTTGTAAGTCCCCAGGTTTCTGCTTCGTAGCTAAGTACCGGCAAGATACAGCTGTTATATACTTTCCTCTTAAGGGATAGTGGCAATCTGCCTGTCATTATTTGAGAGTGCTAGCCAAATGTGCTCCACCCCATCCTTATTCTTCTAGTTACTTCAATCTCGTGGTTCGGCTCCGCGGTTATTACCTGCCTTAAGTAGACATAGTCTTTTACAACTTGAAGTGCACTATTACCTATCTCGAAGCGCCGCTCTCTTCCGAGGTTGTTGTACATTACTTCCGTTTTCTGCAGATTAATTTTAAGACCCACCTTTCTGCTTTCCTTGTCTAACTCCGTAATCATGAGTTGCAATTCGTCCCCTGAGTTACTCAGCAATGCAATGTCATCGGCGAAGTGCAGGTTACTAAGGTATTCTACATTAACTCTTATCCCTAACTGTTCCCATTCTAGGCTTCTCAAAACCTCCTGTAAGCACGCGGTAAATAGCATTGGGGAGATTGTGCCCCCCTGCCTTACACACTTCTTGATTGGTATTCTATTGCTCTATTTACGAAGCACTATGGTAGCAGTTGATCCCCTGTAGATTTCTTCCAGGATGTTAATATATATTTCATCGACGCCCTGATTCCACAGTGTCTGCATGACGGCTGATATTTCTACTGAATCAAACGCCTTCTCGTAATCTATGAAGGCCATGTATAGTGGTTGGTTATATTCTGAGCGTTTCTCAATTGCCTGATTGATAGTATGAAAGTGGTCGATTGTTGAGTAGCCTGTTAGAAATCCTGCTTGTTCCTTTGGTTGATAGAAATCTATTATTTTCTTTACTCTGTTAGAAATTACCTTTGTAAATAGCTTGTACACTACAGAAAGCAAGCTGATCGGCCAGTAATTCTTCAAGTCCTTGTCATCTCTTTTCTTATGTATTAGGTTGAGGTTAGCATTCTTCCAAGACTCTGGTACTCTTCCCGTCAGGAGACACCTCGTAAACAGAGTGGCTAGTTTTTCTAACACAATCTGTCCTCCATCTTTCAGCAGATATGATGTTACCTGATCCTCACCAGCAGCTTTGCCTCTTTGCATGCTCTCGAAAGCTTTTCTGACTTCTTCTATCATTACTGGTGGGATGTGTTCTGGGGGACTGCTAGTTCTTATAGTATTAAGGTCGTGGTAGTCCCGGCTACTGTACAGATCTCTGTAAAGCTCCTCCGCTATTTTAACTATCCTATCCATATTGGTAGTTATTTTGCCTTCTTTGTCCCTTAGGGCATACATCCGATTTTTGCCTATCCCAAGTTTCTTTTTCACTGCTTCGACGGTTCCTCTGTTTTTCAGAGCGTGTTCAATTCTCTCCATGTTATAACTTCCTAAATCGCATACCTTATGCCTATTAATCAACTTTGAATGCTCTGCCAGTTCTATTGTGTCTGTTGTACTTGAGACTTTCATGATTGGAAACTTCTTATTGAGATTCTTTGTTTCCTGGGAAAGCTTAACAGTGTCCTGTCTAACTACCCTGCCTCCAACTTACACTGCACACTCCGTAATGACACTCGTCAGATTATCATTCATTGTATCTACGCTAAGGTTGGTTTCCTCACTAAGAGCCGCGTACCTGTTCTGAAGCGAGACTCTGAATTCCTGTACTTTCCCTCTCAGTGCTAGCTCATTGATTGGCTTCTTGCGTATCAGTTTCTGTCGTTCCTTTCTCAAGTCTAGGCGAATTTGAGACCACACCATTCTATGGTCACTGCATCGTACCTTGCCAAACACTTCCACATCCTGCGCGATGCCTGGGTGTGCACTCATTATAAAGTCTATTTCGTTCTTATTTTCGCCATTAGGGCTCCTCCGTGTCCACTTGCGGTTTCCTCGTTTTCGGTAGAAGGTATTCAAAATCCGTAAATTATTGCGTTCTGCGAATTCTACTAGTAGCTCTCCTCTGGCGTTTCTAGTACCGATGCCATAATCTTCTACTGCCTGGTCTCCAGCCTGCTTCTTCCCTACCTTTGCATTAAAGTCTCCCATCAGTATTGTATACTGTGTTTTTACCTTACTCATTGCCGATTCCACGTCTTCATAGAAGCTTTCAACAGAAGAGTCTTCATGGCTGGACGTGGGCGCGTAAGCCTGTACCACCTTCATCTTGTATCTCTTATTCAGTTTAATTACGATACCTACCACCTTTTCATTAATGCTATAGTATTCCTCTATGTTGCCAGCTATGTTTCTGTGAATTAGGAACGCCACTCCCAGTTCTCTTCTGTGAGCCAAGCCCTGATAGCAAAGGACGTGCCCATTCTGTAGCACCGTATAGGCCTCATCTGTCCTCCTAACCTTACTGAGCCCTATTGTATCTCATTTAACACCCTCTAGCTCCTCGAATAGTACACCTAGACTTCCCTAACCAGATAAGGTTCTAGCGTTAAACGTTGCCAAGTTCAGGTTCCTAGTGCGGCCTGTCCGGATCCAGAGATTCTTAGCACCCTCTGCTGCATTGCAGATTTGACCGCCACCGTCGTCAGTTGCTTCGCAACTGCTGGAGACTGAGGGCCGTGAGTTAATTGACGTATGCATGTGGGATCATAACAGTATTAGTCTATAACCGCCAGTGCCAGTCTGTTGCCATTAAGAAGCTGCGGTCTGCTTTCGTCGCCTTCACCTGTGGTGACCTCTCTAGACAACATTCTGTAACTGTTTCAAGCCGCTATCGGTCTGCAATCTATGTGATCTAGCGCGGCTGCAATTGATTTTCTCTTCGCATTGTAGTGAGGACAATCGAAGAATATGTGCTGTAGTATCTCCTCTCTACCGCATTTGTCACAGAAAGGGTTGTCAGCCACACGAGAATGACAGTGTAATACAACAAATACATTGCGCAATCGACGCCACTAAAGCCCGAACACTTGACGTCTACAGACGCCTACTAGGCTACGCCGTAATAAAGTCACTCAGCTGTTTATGGCTGAGAGTAACTTTGACGTGCAAACAAAAACATAAGTTATTGCAAGAACCCGAGTGTAAGCATGCGTGAGAACGCAGGGCGCAGTAAGAATTGACTGTACACACTTTCTAGGGTAACTGATTGCTAATACCAGAAATTCACAGTAGAAACAATACAGTTATGACTGTGGTAGTTAAAGCGCATAATCTAGTTGCTCATTTGTGCTTAATAAAATGCTCATCTGCATCCACAGTTCCTTAAACTACAACTTTAAACGTGCTCTGTTGGCACAACAACACTTCAGAAGCACATTCGCTGGGGGCCTGGGGGTAAATACGTGAAAGTCATGTTATCACAGGTAATCTTAGTTACTTCATTTAGCTTCAGTGGCTTTGATAGCCAACACTTCACGCAAAAGTACTAACTTTAGCGTACAGTGCCGACATTACTTGAGCAGAAAGAAAAAAAAATTTCCGCCATATCCACGAAGTGAATGATGATGAGTGGGCGAAGCTCCGGAGGTAAACCTGGTAAACCATAAATCCTCTGTACATTTTGCCCACTCGATTTTATTACATCGCTCCCCCTAGCGTACGTCGCCGCACTAAATCGAACACGCGCCATATGTGACATCATTCCTATTTTATAAGATCTCGCGTCTTTCATCAACTACAAGTACCGCTTTCTAGTTTATAACATCTTGCATCTTTTCATCATCAGCTACAAGTACCACCATCTAGTAAACACTACAAGAACTTAACGAGAGGTGGCTACATACAGGAGACGGTACCGCCATCTAGTGAACACTGCAAGAACTAAACTAGAGGTGGCTACATACAGGCTACAGGGGACGCACAGCCCACGCCCTAAGGAGCTTCGCCCCTAAAAAAAGTGCCGCCATATCCACAAAGTGAATGATGAGTGGGCGAAGCTTTGAAGGTAAACCTGGTAAACCGTGAATCCTCCGTACATTTTGCCCGCTCGATTTTATTTCAACATAGCGTACGTCACTCCACTAAATCGAACGAATGCTTTCCACCAATGACACGCGCCATATGTGGCATCATTCCTATTTTATAACATCTCGCATCTTTCATGATCAACTACAAGTACCACCGTCTAGTTTATAACATTTTGCATATTTTCATCATTACCGCCATTTAGTAAACACTGGAAGAACTAAACCAGAGGTGGCTACATACAGGGGATGGTACCGCCATTTAGTGAACAATGCAGGAACTAAACGAGAGGTGGCTACATACAGGGGACGCACAGCCCACGCCTTAAAAAGGGTGTATTCCATCGCATTTTGCACTTTGTCGTAATGCTAAATCACTAATACAAAAAGTATGGTTACAAAAACCCCGAGTCCTTCAATTTGAATCTGCGCTTTTTCATAAAAATCGTAACCTATGATGTTTTGATAAGGCTGGTTGATTTCTTATGATACCGATGTAACAGCGCAAAATGTAAACGGGAACAAGGTGCACGCAAGCGAAGACAAGAGCTGCGCTCTTGTACCCTCCGTTCGTGCACGTTTCATTCTCTTCTTGTCACACAAATGCCCTTTGGAGACAGAGGGTTAACTTTATCGAAAGCTGAAATATTTGACTTTACAACTTGCACTACATATCTCTTGGCTTACAGTTCCACCGCGGAGGCGCATGCGGCTGCGGTGCTTGGCTTCTGACCTGCACGTCACGGGTTCGTTCCCAACCGCGGCGGCCGCAATTCAGTGGAAGCGATAGTGACCTGTGGACTCTGTGATGTCGGTGCATGGTAAAGAACATTCAATAAAAGTAATTTCCAGAGCGCACCACTAAGTGATTCCTTATAGTCATATCTTGGTTTTCGGACATAAAAACTCTAATATTATTTCCCTACTTGACGTACAATTTACGAGGCAATCACTTACAGCATAAACTGTACAAACTGCAAGACAGTGCAATAGGAGAAGCTCGCCTGCATTCCGTTGGTCAAGAGGGGTGTCATAATATGCTTCTCTTGCGGAGAGCACGCGCTAGGGTCTGCCTCGTATGGCTTCCTTCCGTTAAGTACGGATCCGTCATGGTGTGCTCCGAGTCTGCGCAAAAAAGTACACAGCATAAACTGTTTTTTTAATAACTCTTCTCTTAATTACGAAGTACAACAAAATTACTTCTTAAAAACATACTTTTTAGAGTGACTTTGCACGCAATTGGACGTATGAAAGTCACGACTTAGGAAACTTTGCAGGAGTTTAGGTGCTAAGTTCTGCAACACAAACTGAAACGGCCGTAGGATTAGTTGCCTGCGTATGCAGAGCATTTAAAACTGTGTGACGCACGTTAGTATACATTCAGAGCATTAAATGGGCCTTGTAAGAGGTAATCATAGTTTGCAGAGGCGTTTTAATTTTCTTTTTAAAGTCATGGCATAAGCACATATTTGTATGGCAAAGTCAATCCTTGCAAGCACTCAGAACAGCTTGACGTCGCGTAAACGAACGAATTTAGTCGGGCTGGGCTTCTACACGAATTCGCTTTGGGTGAAGTTGGATTAGGAATGGTATCAACAACCCCTCGATGATGCGAGAGTATGCTGGCAAGCGAAGGAAGAGCCAGAGTCTGGTTGAAGCTTGGTCGTGGTTCATGCACGACGACTCTCCCCACGGGCTGCTAGCTCGCCCAGTCCCGTCTTCCCACAACATATTGCCCCCTCCTCCTGCACCCAGCAAGACAAAAATGAATTCGCGCGGCCTTCTTGCAGCGAACCAGCCCGAATTGATCATGAGTGTTGACGGACGTAAACTGTGAATGTGAGTGGTTTTAAATAAAAAGAACAGAAAGTGAGCCCCGTAACTGTCTTTCAGGGGGAGGACACCTCAACAGTAGCTCACGAGGGGTGGGGCTGAAGGAGGGAATAAAAGGTTAGGATTCAAAGGTAAAGAGATGGAGAGAGAGAAGAAAGCGAGGTGCAGGGACAGCGAATGACAGCAAACGACGGAATTAAGGAGGAGATAGAAAAAATGGACACTGTCGCAAGAGTCCGAGGACGGGGCATCACTTGGCGAGAGCTCTTGTCGGCGTCAGGAGATGGCGTAAGGGGAGTCCTGTCAGCCAGAGCTGCGCTGTCGTTGGAGATTGCGGGGGCACAACCGGTTGGTATGAAATCCAGTGAGCGAGTCCACGGACGTAACCTGATATCCTGCTTCGGACACCACTTCTGTTTTTTAGTCGCTGCCGCTACATAGCTTGGACAACGGCGCCCTCCTGACCATCTTGAGAATCCTCAACATCACTGAGTGACCTCTGTGAAACCCTGCACTGTGTGTGTGGTCTGTGTGTTGTGTGCAGCGTTCATCTGCTCCTTTCTATCTCTCTCTTTTACTACTTTATTATCCTGTCTCCAAGTGTCGGGTAGAAATCTGGACTTGGTCTAGTTAAGCTCCCTACTTTTCTTATACTCTCCCTCCCTCTCTCTCTCTCTCTCTCTCTCTCTCTCTCTCTGCGGTAGTTCGCTTTCTAGAAACCAACTCTCCAGACATTCTTTCAGAAAAACCTGCGACAGCTTTCCAGCCACTTCTCCTGACGGCCCCACCTGACATCGGTGCCAAGGATGAACATCAGTCGTGATCTAGTATATAGTTCGGAAACACGCCAAGCTATATAAACATGCCCGCTTACACTCTCTTAAGCAGCGGTTTCTAAGTGAGGAGCATGACGAGCTGCACAGTTGAGTTGAAAGGGGTCTGTCGGAGGGCATGGAAGCGCGCATGTGTGGGAAAAAGGCCCTGGTTTCGCTGTGACTTATAAGCATAAATACGAGACAACAGCTGTAGGGGAAGTCATTAATGAGCAATATTAAGCTGTGGAGAAAACACAGCACCACGGCATTTCTGTAGTGGAGGGTGTCGCAATATTGAGGTAAGCGTTACGAACTTGCTTCCGACTCCGTCGTATCCAATCAATCGTGGCGTTACAGAAAAAAAATGCTCGTGCAATTCACATTAAAACCGAGAGAGTGCTGGGCACTCTCTTTTGAGAGTACTTTGTTGTCCCACATTGCGCTCTCTTTTCCAGAGTAAATCACCTCTTGTTGAGGCAAAGTACAGTAATTCCACCGAACGGGTCAAAGCACTCCACCTCAACAGAGTACCATAACGCTGTCCGAAGCAGAGCTGCATGATCCCACCAAAAAAATTAATAGTACACCTCACGAAAAAAAATGGATGAATTTGAGTCGTAATTGGGCTTTTAATTGTTTTTGATGGATCTCCGAGCGCATGAATCGTAAGGATGGCTAAATACGAGCACTACGACAAAAACAAAGTAAGTAAGAAAAAGAGCATGATTGAATGAGACTCAAACCTTCGACCCCAAAACGCACTACACATTGCAAGCTTGACAAACTAACCACTACATCGCACTGAAACTTTTTATAACACTTTCAATAGATGTTATACATAGAGACATATGCCACACATCACCCACCAGCGTGCACACGGCTGGCGGTATTTACTTATGCAGCTTTAACATTTTCAATGTGTCTAATATGCAAAGCATTTCATCGCTTGCCCCTCGGTGTTCCAGCACTTCTCTAAGCTTCATTGCCTGTTCAACGAAATGGGCGTTAACCGATTGCGCTCGGGGCTCTGCATTTCGTACATCCATACGTGACCCCCAACTGCTATGAAGACCTAGAAGCATGAAAACGTCATATGGGACACAATTTCCTTAAACAGGCAGAAAATGAATACCGTAGGCGTCGATTAGCATAGCGCCTTCTTGAAAGTTCTATGCAGTACATCGCAATGAAATAAAGCGTTCTAACAGTCAATAAAAAGGTGTTCCACAGTTTCTGCTTTGTTACATAAAATATAGTTCTCTCCTCACGGCAAAAACTTACTCGTTGTTCAAGCCATGTTTCCACAGGTAGGGTGGCCGTGTGAAGAGTAAACAAAAGTTTTAACCCCTAGTGGGACTAACATCATTTTGACGCGTTTCAGGACATCGCTACCCAATGCCTCCCCGTAAATTGTTCTGTAGTGTGGAGTTGAAGAATATATGTCTATTAAGTTTTTCATAGGCGCTTCCTGGGCGCGTTGAAAAAGTATTCCATTAAAAATATACTTAATAAAAACCTATAGGAAAAGACTACCTCATATAAAAAGCGGGATACTTTATACGCACTGTTGTTCATGGTGGAGGCAACAAATTCTGGTGTAGCTCCCGGTAACATAAACCGAGTTATTGTACAATTGAAAGGATCTTGCTGATCTATTAGGAAGAAGAATCTACTGAGAACCTGTTTCAAGAACAGTTGACTTAACCCACGCTTACCTTGTCCAACCTTACGGCAAAAATTAGTCCTAGACGTTCGCTCATATGTGGAATTCCAGACAAATGTTGCGAGAATTCTGCCAAACAGCTTAATATTACTTTTTGTGCAGTAAAGAACCTGAAGAACGTACCATTTTTTAGCTGCAGAAAAAAACTATGTTACATACCGTAGACCTTGCGACAGTTGACAAATCCCGCCCACTCCTGAAAAGTCTTCGATGCCATTTTATCCGCCTTGTCTCCCCAAAGCAGCGTATTTTCCCAATATTCACCTAGTGGTAATCCTAGGTATTTGTTGGGTACAGTGCTCCACTGCAGCTTCACAAAGACAGTAGGAGCGTGCTGCCACGAACCATTCATGTGTAATATAGGTGTTATAATTGACAGATATACATTTTCTGTTTGATGTTTTTTGTGAGGTGTTTGTTCATAGACATTTTTTTGTTTGTCTCCGCAAGTGTCTCTGAACTTCTCAAAACCTATCGGGCTGTAGCTAACATATTTACATAGTTTGTTTTATCAGAACATTTTTCCGATACAATTTTACAGTATAAAAAGAAAGATTACATAGCCGTGATGAAGTGTACACTAAACAATTTAGTTTTTTTTCACCCTCTTGGACACATTTTCGGTCATCCTTGTTCACGTTCTACGACGAAAGCCACAATACTTCACTACCATACTGTACGTTAGGCTTACGGCTCCACTGCCCGTGTGCGATGGTCGTAGCGAAGAACATGAGTATTAATTTAGGGAGAATAACATAGACGTTTTCATTGGGTTTCAACCGTGACCGATTGAATGAGATAGTCGTTGCTTATATCACTACACAGATACAAAGCTAAAAACATGGATATTAAGACTCCCAAGTACCTTCCAGTGCGCTTAAATTCTCTGGTGCACGCTGGAAACGCTGTTAATTTTTAATTGTCTGTAACGCCTCAACAAACAAATGCAGTGCGTTTTACTGCGTGTATGTGTTGTTATTATGTAGTGCTAATGACTCGCGGTGTGCCGACGCATCCTAAAGTAATCAAGAGTATAACCGAGTTTTACTCCCTCAAGCCTGAGTAGTATATGGGCATTCCATTCCCTCATAGAAACGAAGAGTTGAAAGCTGTTTCATCCTCTCGTTTCATGCAGAGCGAAAATGAATCTTACTCTATCTGATGCTTTGCGAGAGCAGAAGAACACTCCGAAGAGTTACTTGGCCTTTTTACTGCTGCGATACCCTCCACAGTTTATTTAGAAGGTTCGTTCTATATTAGGTGCACGTTAAGGAACTCCATTTTATTAAAAAAATCTCGAGTCACACACTGTGGCGGTTCTTATCTGGCCTTTAATTCGCGCATAAACTTCAATTTGCTGCAATAAAGTAATAATGACACATTGCGGTGATGAATACCATCAAATCACATATTTTTACCGGCCGTCATATAATATTTTTAACACTTATTTTTGTTCTTCAAATGATGGTAGTAAGCGCTCTAACATGTAGTTAGAGAAAAAAAAAATGTTTGCGAACATCCTGCCGCACTTACAAGTGCCCGATCTCGTGCACAAAGGTATGAACACTGCTGTACGACAACGACATGTCTTCCACAAGTGCCGCCTTCCACCAACCACATGCCCCTTTGACGGATGCCAGACCTGAAAGGGGGAAATTTTTAATAATCATCAATTCAGCTGAAAAAAAACAACGTTATCACATCGTAACAATGGCAAAACCTCTAAACTGTGTTGTAGAAACCCGCAATTGATAGGGCAACATATATGTAGGGCATAATGACTTCGTAAGACTTTTTGAATGTTTGACCTGTATAGTGCAGCCGAGCCAAAGTTTTTGAACGGAAACATGTTTTAAAACTTTCTCCACTAGCATTGACTGACGCCGTTTTCTTCAATGAAGCGACGTTGGTAAGAAGCACGCAATGATCTCTCTCTCTCTCTCTCTCTCACACACACACACACACACACACACACACACACACACACACACACACACACACACACACACACACACACACACACGCACACACACACACACACACACACACACACACACACACACACACACACACACACACACACACACACACACACACACACGCAATAGTCAGGAGGAAGCTCGTTCGCAATAAAAAATTGAACCTCTGACACCTCCGTCAACGGACGTAGCTGCATGTTGCACTGACACCTCCTCCCGGTTTTCTATTTTATACGTGTACTTATTGATTACGAAGCATGGGGCTCAGGCCTTCACAGGATGACAAAGATAGGGATGGTGGGCTTTGAAATAGTGTAATATTGCTTCACCTTCACAGTACACGAAAGTAACCAATGGTGGTTTATCAACAGCATGTTCGCGAGTATACCTTCGCCAGATTAACAGTTTGTAGAAAAGTGTAAAAAAGCCCACCACAAGAAGTTCTCAGAAAGTTGACGTACTTGTGTGCATGAAGGAGTCTTACCCCCGTATTCTAGAACGCCTTTTCCCTCAACACTCCACCTTCATTTGAGAAAGCCGACGGAAGCACCATCTCTAGGCAGGGCAAGTCACTGCATATCAGTGATAATTTGCTGCTATTCTGGAGTAGCGCAGCGTCATTTTCAGCCGAACAGCGGAGCACTGCGCAACTCTGTCAAGTGAAGGGTGAAAGTCGAGTCAAGGAGCGTTTGTGAATACGGGGGTGAATATCTCTGATGCTTCTAATGTGAACATACAATACCTCTTTTCTTGCATGCACTGAAGCTACCTTTTGGCTACTGCCATCATGCTTCATGGGAACGAACCATGAGATATCTTTTTGTGCGGCTTGAGCATAACTCAGTTCGAGCCTGAAGGAAAGGAACATGACCAAGAAAGGAAGAAGACAGGTGACAGGATGAGCGACACAATCGTCCTTATCTTGTCCCTTGTCTTCTTTCCTCCTTTCTTGCTTAGGTTTGTTTTCTTCATGATGACACAAAGCTGCATTGAAACGATAGAAGACTATGATGCACAAAATCAACAATAGTCTCCCATCTATACTCTTCTCTTCCTCACTATTGACAGGAGCCACGCCATCACGGCTGTGCTATTTCTACAAAGAGTGTCTAGGATTTGTTCAGGGAAGCTCTGTACCACGACATTAACGCTTCGCATAGGCATTTCTTTGCTGATAAACCGCAAAGCTGGGTGAACTACAGAATGGGTTTCGGAAACACAGGAGGTTGGAAGACAATCTGTTCTCACTGTTGCAGTGCATCGAAACAGAAGAAAAGGAACACAGGCCTCTGTGGCTAGCATTTTTGGATATCAAGGGAGTGTACGACAGCGCGGTTCAAGAGGACTTGTTGGGAATACTGGGCACACCAGGTGTGGAAGATGGAGTCACTAGTCTTTTAAATGATATCTCTAATGTTAGCAAGGTAGTTATCAAGTGGGAAAAAACAGGTATCCAAGCCCGAAGAGGTAAAATGGGAGCTTGGGCAGTGGTGTCCTCAGTTACCCTTGTTATTCATGATGTACCTACAAGAATTAGAGGGCAAATTAGAGGGAAGTGGACTTGGATTCAACCTTCATTTATTCAAACAAGGAAAATTCATCGAACAGGCACTACCAGCATTGATGTATGCAGATGATATAGCGCTAATGCAATCCGGGCACTTAGTGCAATGGGAGCACGTGAGCGCAGTAGTCTTGCGTATGCACGTCATTCTTCCTTGAAATGTAGCAAATACGACAAAGATTCTGCGTTAATGCTGTAGAAATACAGTCACGTTGGCATATGAATGTCGTGAAAATATACGCAATGAACCTGGCACAGACACGCAAGTTGAAAGCATCATGCTTTTGCTTGTCGTAGGCATACGCAGCAAACCAAGTCCTTCGAATTATAAGGTAACCTACGATGGCATGACAATTCTAGGAGAGAGATATGAGAGGAGGCAAAGATTGAACACTATGAGGCACTTGCTTGGCGAGTTGGTAGTTATCATGTACGTTATGCGCATGCTAAGACTGACATTTGCAGATTTGTCGTCGAGCATCTCCAAGTGTACAGTCGTGTAAGAAAATGGGGCAAGAAAAACAGAGAGCTGAACAAATGTGTGTAAGTTCAGCCACTGTGAGGGCATATGTCAGCACATCAAGTGCCATCAAGAAACGTGTCAGCACCTAACATCATAGTTAGGTTTCTTTCGAGAGCTGTGAAAGATAACGTTCTGAGTATTGCTAAGAAGCAACAACTTAATAGGACTTTTTTAGGTTTTCAGGACATCGCATTTTTAGTGTACATAAATGAGCACTTGTGCCCGGCAAACAAAGAATTGCCTACAGCCACTCTTAAGACAAAGCGGGAAAAAAACTGGAAGTACACCTGGATAAGTGATGGAAAGATTTTGATGTGGAAGGTGGATAATTGATGTGTGCTTCAGGTCACATGTGCTGAGGATCTTTGCAAAGTAGTTTGAGGATATCCTGCTGTTTCTGTAAACCTGGACTCTCATATATTTTAAATGGCGTTTTCGTTTTCTGATGTTGAAAACATATGGCTCCAGCAGGAGCATTTCGCAGTATTACATTGTAATATTGGCAGCATAAAGAACTTCGATCATCTGCTTTCTTACTTATCACAGCACTCGTTTAAATCTGATGTCAATGCTATAGCTAAAACTTGGTTTCGAGAAAGCAAATCAGTTCATCTACTCGGCTGCGTCATGCTTTCGCAACCTAGAAACAGTAATACACGAGGAGACGGCGTGGCGCTATTTATCAAAGACTGCGACACCTACCTGGAGGCAAACGGACATAAAAGCATCGTCGCCGACGCTCCCCTTCAGTGGGTCCGGCAGCGGCATGATGTGCAGTCGCTACAGTGTCTTCTGCTTCATTTTGCAGATTGCCGCCAGTCTGGGAAACCACTATCTCCACTTGCATGCCCCTTCCAAAAGCCACCTTTGCAACGCGCCCTTCAAACGGCATGACGAAGCCTTCAATAACAGCACGTGCGCCAAATCATCGACTCTCTGGGACGTGCCCGCTGCCACGTGGTGCTCGCCCGTCGGCTGGTCCATGATCAGCTGGCCAAATTGCACACGGCGTGGGACGGCAGCGACACCTACCTGGAGGCAAACGGACATAAAAGCATCCATTGCACGGCTATGTCTCCTACGTGTTTCTGAAGACCAGTCCTATCTATTGCTGCCTCCAAGCACCTTTCAAGCGCCCTAACGGCATACGAACTCATAACAGCATGCGCCAAATCATCGACTCTTGGGACGGCTGAACGTGGTGTGGTCGTGATCATGACACTGGCCATTGCACACGACGGCATGACACTACATGGAAACGGACATAAAGCATCGTCGCGACGCTTCCTTCATGTGGGTCCGGCAGCGGCATGATGTGCAGTCGCTACAGGTTCTTCTGCTTCATTTGTGCAGATTGACCGCCAGTCCTGGGAAACCACTATCTCCTACTTGCCTGGCCCCTTCCCAAAGACCACCTTTGGCACGCGCCCGTCAAACGGCATGACGAAGCCTTCAATAACAGCACGTGCGCCAAATCATCGACTCTCTGGGACGTGCCCGCTGCCACGTGGTGCTCGCCCGTCGACTGGTCCATGATCAGCTGGCCAAATTGCACACGGCGTGGGACGGCAGCGACACCTACCTGGAGGCAAACGGACATAAAAGCATCGTCGCCGACGCTTCCCTTCAGTGGGTCCGGCAGCGGCATGATGTGCAGTCGCTACAGTGTCTTCTGCTTCATTTTGCAGATTGCCGCCAGTCTGGGAAACCACTATCTCCACTTGCATGCCCCTTCCAAAAGCCACCTTTGCAACGCGCCCTTCAAACGGCATGACGAAGCCTTCAATAACAGCACGTGCGCCAAATCATCGACTCTCTGGGACGTGCCCGCTGCCACGTGGTGCTCGCCCGTCGGCTGGTCCATGATCAGCTGGCCAAATTGCACACGGAGTGGGACGGCAGCGACACCTACCTGGAGGCAAACGGACATAAAAGCATCGTCGCCGACGCTTCCCTTCAGTGGGTCCGGCAGTGGCATGATGTGCAGTCGCTACAGTGTCTTCTGCTTCATTTTGCAGGTAGGGAATCCGTACCGGTATAAATGCCATAGAAGTGACAACCGTTTTTTGCTGCTTCTGCCGGACCCTACCTGCGCATGGCTTTTGAGTGTTGTCACTAGTGTAAAAATTGTCTTGAGATTTCTGTTACTTTTGTCTGGTGACGTCGAGACCAATCCCGGCCCCGCATCCAAAACTGAACAAATGTTATTAGAATTGCTAGCTGGGCAAACACGTATTAGCGAAGATATATTAGCACTCACCACAAGGGTTGCAGCGTTCGAAGCCCGTCTAACAAAGTTGGAGTCTAGTGTCACTGATAATAACGATCTTGTGAAACGTGTGCCGGAAATGGAGATTAAAATGAACGATCTAACTAAAGCAGCGCACACACTTGATCGCAAAAACGACGACTTGGAAAATCGATCACGACGAAATAACCTTATAATACATGGATTGCTGGAACCACATGATGAGAAACCCGAGCAGCTACTACCGTCGGTCGTGAACCTTATATCAACGAAGCTTGATATTCAATATGACAACATCGAACGCTGTAATCGCCTCGGAACAC